AGGTTGCTCCCCACCCCTGCTAGAGTCGCTATCATGGTTTCCCACCCCCTTTTCTATTTTTTGGGTCTTGCCTGAGGATTGAGCATTTCACTGTCAGGCTATTCAGGGAATCTAAGGACTGGGACGCTAAACCCACTGGAGACAAGGCAGCTGGTTCTGTCAGTCCTTTGGGGAAGGAAGGAGGCAGACATGCCTTGTTCAGCTAGATGCATCAACTGCAGCTGGTGGAACTCCTTGGCCCTGGCCTTGTTCCTAGCTTGGCTCTTGGTTTGCTGGTCCGTTTTTGGTGCGAAGCTTCCTTGGGGGCGCTCAGCTCCCTTCAGGCAGGTGGCTTAATTTGTCTTCCTCTGCCTCATGCCTACTTCGTTTGCAGTTAAGGTGCAGCACTCCCTTTGATTCCTATCTGGAGCATAGGAAGCTGCCCAGTACAGCTTTAGTCCATCTATTGTCAACACTGGCCAGCAGCAAATCTCCAGGATTTCAGATAACTATCAGCCCTGATGGCTGTGTAGTACCTCTGGCATCAGAGGCAGTAGGTCTCTTGAGTATCAGTCACTGGAACTCACAGGTGACCAATTTTCTGTGTCCTGGTCCCGGGATTCATGGGGAAATGCTTTAATCAAGGAAGGAGAGTGTATCTCTTCCAATGATCAGACCTTGACTTGACTTTTAGGAGGGAACCTTCATTCTGTGAGTGATCAAAAAATATTTCCATGGTGCATCATGCAGAACGCCTCCTGGCATCTTGCAAGAGCTTTACCTATCCTCTCCCCTGAAGAATCTTGTGGGCGTGTTTTTGATTCCCAAGTCCAGGTCCTACTCTGGATTCTCATTGCACTGCCGTTCAGCTCAAAAGCGTAGAAGTTAGCCCTTGCTTATTTATATAGCGCCATCTGCCCATGTGGCACTTTATAAAGGACAGAGATGACAAATCCTTGCCCCAGGGGGCTTACAATCTAAAAATAGAGACAGGGAAACAACAGTGGCAGGGCGGAAATGGAGGCCTGGATAGACAGGAAAAGAATAGCGACAACTTCAGTTACACGTATTTGGCTTTTGTTTTCAGTAAGGGCTAGAGGAACCATCCAAAAGACTTCCCGGAAAAGGCATGTTTTGGAGAGGAATTGAAGGATATAAGGGAGGTGGTTGCATGGCGACATTCCAGGAGGCAGTTCCATGCATATGGGGCAAGAAGGGGAAATTGGTGGAGCTGTTTGAGGGAGCAGGATGAGGGTGGTGGAGCTGGATGAGCATGATCACAGGGAGTGACAAGAAGTTTGCTCAGGATCAATGGCCACCCATCCAGGGAAGCCCATGAAGGAATTTCAGGAGGGGAGGCGGAAGAGGTGATTACGAGTTAACCCTGTTCTTTCTGTTTCACCTTCAGCTTCTTCCTGAGCTGACGAACCCAGATGAGCTGCTGTCCTACTTAGGACCCCCTGATCTCCCCAATAACAGCAACGATGACCTGCTTTCTTTGTTTGAGAACAACTGAAGTCACCCTTTAAGGAACACAGTCACCAAGCTCCAAACACCACCTACACACACCTGCACATCACACATACACAAGCACACACACACATCGACACTCACATAATGCATCCCATAGCTTCCCAGGCTCCCATTGAGAGAGGGGCATTGCTTTGGTAAAGTGGCAGTGCCCACAGAAACCTGCCAGCGAGTCAGAACCGTACTAAGGCAGCCCGAGAAACTTTGGCCAGGCAGTAATCCAGTTTTGTCAGAACTGTCTCTACCCTCCAGAAGGGCTCCAGTGGACAGCAGAGCAGCTTGCTTTAGCCATACTGGGAACCCTTCATTCCCAAAGGAGAGTTTGGGAGGGGGCGCTGTTCCTTGAAGACTTAGTTGTTAACAAGATGCTCACACCACGGCAAGGTTATCCACATGGCAGCTGTAGCAGTTCAGCCGATCTGCCCCCCGAGACAGCCTAGAAAACCCACAGCCAGGGAAGGAGGAAATGGAGCACAGGGTTTCCCTGAAATGTTAGCACAGTCAATAACCTTCCCCTCCTCGGTCACATCATTCTGGATCTTAGTTTTGGGGTACGCAGGTCCACCTGTAACATGTGACACTGTAGGATGAAACTGGCTCCTCCTCGTTTATACATTTCCCGAGCATTCTTAAGCCACAAGCTCCAGTAAGAAAGGACAGAGAGTGACGGTGTCTGGAAGAAGATGGAGCTTGCTTGCTCTTGCATGTTCTTGAACCTGGAGGGCTGCAGGAGCCAGCTCTGCTTGCCCAAACTCCTCGGATGGGGCATAGCAGCGGTTTTTCTCTTTTACGGCTCCCGGCCTCATAGATGTGTCCAAATGAATCGGGATCAGAAACCTGTCCACACTCCCCATGCTCCGTTCCTGTCCAACAGACCCACAAGAACTTGAGCTGGAAAACTTTTTCCCTCCCCCCATTGCTTCTCCCCGCGGACTACAGCAGCAAGGAAAGGCGTCTCTGGTGGAAAGAAAAAAAGACAGTTCCCAGGGCACCACCTGACAGACTTGCCTCCATCTGTCAATGGATCCGTCTACAAGCACAACAATGTAAATAATGTAGAAACACTAAAGGAAACAAAAGTGAGGGTGGGAGGAAAATGGGGAAGGGGGGGGGAGGAACTATTTAAAAGCAAGCCGCATCACTCTGTTGTATAGTCTCCAGGGCTTCCCAGCCTTGGGGCAAAAGTCCTCTGTATAAATGTGCATAAGCTTCCTAGATTGTAATATAGACCATTCCACATGGGGCTGTGTGCACTATTCAGAGACTTGATGCATTTAGCCATAGCTGGGGTCCGGCCCTTGCATCTGACATGTGTGCGTCCCACCAAAGTAGGATCTGGATGCTGAGAATTAACTCATTTTAATCCCGAGCCCCAGAAATAAGTGCAGCGAAGTCAGTCCCTACCCACCCACCCAAAAAAAAAAACAATGTGTGTGTTGACCTGCCATTCCCCCTCTGTCCCACTCAGGAGCCCACTTCAGTTTAGGTTGCATTTGGGATGGTGTCAAAGAGGTCCCAAAGGTTACCTTACCTGTGGAAGAATCAAACCATTGTTTGTGGCCGGGTTTCCTGAGCCAGGGAGTCCCTGTGTCCAAGTGCTGACAGCTCTGTTGAGTTTTGTGTATCTTGTTTCATTATTGCTATATATTAAAGGATTCTTTTTGGTGGGGCTCACCAAATAGTTTGTGTGCTGTTGGTTTTAAAATGTACCTATTGCAAGATCAAGGGTGAATGTGGGGAAACAGTAGGTCCTCGCTCAGAACTTGGGGAGGTTCCCGGGGTGCCCTTTTTCCCTTTCCAGCTTAACTGTCCAAGCTATCTAGCTTACAATCAGCAGAGACGTCCTAGAAGACACAGTGATTGGGAGCAGCGATTGTAATTAGAACATAGCTGTGATAATCTGCATGGATGGAGACAACCTATCAGTTTAAAAGTTGCCCGGCAAGGAGGATTGTGGGAGCCCCTAAATATGACATTGCACACATATAACTCGGCAGAGGAGAATGGGGGAAGACAATTTGGAGCTAGGTCAGAAACCGAAATAATTCCAATTCCAATTAAACTTTTTATTGCCCTAGCCATAGGCCATGGCATCATTCAGAAGGAGAACAACAACAACAACAAAAAACAATAACCATAAAAATCATCAGGCACAGACATACAATAAAACCACGGCCACGGCTACTAAAATTATTTGTTGCATTAAATAGAATAGAATAGCAGAAGATTCTCAGGTAAGATGTGCCAAATTAAATATCCGAATCCCCTTTGCAGTTGACCGCTATTTTGTCTAGTTCCTTCCTCCTGATCTTCTTAGCTGCCAGCACACAGAGTGCTACTCTATAAGTAACAAAGTTGACCAAAATAATAAGGGATAAATGAGTAAAAAGTAGCCTTCTCCAAGTAGAAGTCCGCCAGATGTTTGACTCCAGCTCCCAGCATCCTTGGCCATTGGTCATTCTGGCTGGGGCTGATGGGAGTTGGAGTCCAGCAAGATCTGGAGGGTCTTCAGAGAACGCCAGTGTAAATATCGCAAGGGTGCAACCAGAAAGAAGAAATATCCCTTTCCAAAACTGATATGAGGAACTTCACCCTCTTCAAGTGAGACCCGAGGTACCTCCTGCACCAGGGCTGGAGAGCCTGTGGTCCCCTCATCAACTGCAGCAAACACAAGTTCAGCAACATACAGCAGGCCCTGCCTAACTCTCTCTTACCCACGGGAACAGTTTAGAACCTTAGACTCTTATCCTGGCCATTCCAAGCAATAAAGCTGCTACTGATTAGTTAGGCTCCTAGATCTGCCCAGGAGAAAGAAAGTTGTCTTAGAACTGTTTTTAAAACATAGGATAAGAAGAATAATTGTGAAGGTGATGCTTAGCAGTCAGGGCTGTTTCTGACTATCCTGGCAGGGCAACATGTTTTGAAAGTACAATTCCACCCATCTCCCAATTAAAAGTTAAAGGCCCCATCACCTGTTGCTAGAGAGCCATGTCCACTTAATAGCAGGTAGCACACGGCTTGGTGAGCAAATATCTTGAGACGGTGTAAGACATCTTCCTATGTGGTCTGTATGCACGTAAGAGAGAGCCATTCTGCCTTGCAAACCAGGGAACATGAGAACGCAAGAGCCTGCAGGATCAGGCCAATGGCTCATCTTGCCCAGCATCCTGTTCACAGTGGCCAACCAGGTGCCTATGGGAAACCAGCAAGCAGAATTTGAGCACAAGAGCACTCTTCCCCTCTTGTGGTTTCCAGCAACTGGTACAGTGGTACCTCGGGTTACATACACTTCAGGTTACTGACTCCGCTAACCCAGAAATAGAGCACAGGTTAAGAACTTTGCTTCAGGGTGAGAACAGAACTCTTGCTCCAGCGGCGCGGCAGCAGCAGGAGGCCCCATTAGCTAAAGTGGTGCTTCAGGTTAAGAACAACCTGAAACTGTTCTTGACCTGAAGCACCACTTTAGCTAATGGGGCCTCCTGCTGCTGCTGCGCCACTGGATCACGAGTTCTGTTCTCACGGACCTCCGAAATGAATTACATACTTAACCTGAGGTACCACTGTATTCAGAAGCATTGCAGCTCCCCAACTTCAGTGGTGGAGGAAAGCCATTGTTGCTGTTAGCCATTGATAGCCGCCTCCGCCATGGATTTGCTAATCATCTTTTAAAGGCATCCAAGTTGGCGGTCATCACTGTCTCCTGGGCAAGTTCCATAGCACAGCTAAGCACTACATGAAGATGTACTCGTACTGAATCTTCCAACATTCAGTTGTATGCCCATGAGTTCTAGTGCTATGAGAGGAGAGAGAGAGAAAAAGGCTCTGTCAACTTTCTCCATGCCATGAATAACTTTATAAACATCATCATGTCGCCTCTTACTTGTCTTTTCTATAAACAACCCCCCCCCCCAACGCTGCAACCTTTTCTTGTGCCTTATGAATTTCCACTACCCGGTAAATTTCACTGTCTCGGGAATAGCTTTCGACAAGACGGCCTGATCTGGTACAAGGGCATACCATGAGACTGCAACAACTTCAAGATGTTCCCTAGTGTTTGTGGCAATGGTCAAAACTGGTCCTGATGAAAGCTCAGGGTTAGAGCATCTGCTTTTTATGCAGAAGGTTCCTGGAATCTCTGGTTAAGCAGGTTGGGTACCAGGTGATAAGAAAGACTCTTCTCTGCCTGAGATGCTGGAGAGTTACTGCCAGTCAGACAATACTGGGCTTGATGGACCAGTAACCTCACCTAGTATATGACTGCTTCCTATCTCCCAGGGATTGTGACCGGGGGGGGGGCGGGGAAGAGTATAAGAAAATGTACCCAGGTCTCCTAACTAAAAGGGAGCTGCGTTGAAATCGGAATTCAGAAATCTGTATCAGTTGATTTCCAGAGTAAATGAAGAGAAATTAGGAGATGGAGGAGAACAGCACAGGGGGAAGAAGTTCGACAATCTGCTGGAATGTCAGATGGCAAGAGAAACTTGAAAGGCATCTGAAACAAAGGCCATTTCCCCCACCTACTGAGGCTAGCTGAGCAAAGGGGAGCATTAATCTTGCCTATCAAAAAGGCTCAGAATCTGCAGAGGAGACTAAGTACCAGGAGAGTGTTTTGAATAAGATGGTGAAGTCACTAAAGACTAAAACAGCTGAATATCAATTGTTTAGAATTGAGCTTTTTACAAGCAAGGGGTAGAATTGGAGTCTAGTGGGGATAGACAGATCAATTTTCCCAGGCCATACCACTTTCACATTTCTTCAGTTAACTTCTCATTTTTACATTAATCTCCAATAATATTTTTTTTTTTAAAAAAAACCAACCATGAAAAGCTGCATTTAAATACATACCTTTGAACATATTTTCTCATAGGATAATTAATTTCTAAATATAATTTACCCCAAAGTACTCATTGCTAAAAGCAATTGATACTTTTTTTAGCTTGAACTGCCTCATAAAATTCTGAGATGTACAAAATCAAAAAGACGAACGGTTCTAAACTGCAGATTCATTCAAGAAGTGTGGATCAGGTTGGTTTGTATCAAAATTCAAAAAAGATCAACTTTCTCAGCATAGGCGCCAACTCCTAGAAGCCCAGGTCCCTTCAGCCACCCCAAAATTGATGGGCATTGCTAATCAAATGGCGCCTTGCATTTGATGGGGTGGGGCAGGGCACTCCTGGAGTCTGCACAACAACATATGAACAAGCATAGAGACTGCACAGTGGATCACATGGTGGCTCAGCATCACCTGGACCAGGTAGCTGTGTACCCTAGGGCCTAAAGGATTTAGCTATCCAGTCTACTGATGTCTCATGAAAAGTTCTGGAGTGCAAGGGGAAGGAATGTATACAAACTTGCCAAAAAAATAAAGGGGGGTTAAGAACAGTAGTTGTGGAACTGAGTTGCCAGTCTTGCTGACCCCTGTCTCTAGAGATATAGGAGGAATAAATGCTGAGTGTGATAAAAATTACCGAACAAATAGATAAGGACATAAAAATGGCCAGCTGAATTTCTACTTGTTCCATCAGTGGTGATGCTTCAGAAGTATTTCTGCCAGCATTAAGGTACCTTGAAGATTCTGGACGTTCTGCCTCCTTTAACCCCATTAGCAGCTCCTCACTTGTTATCATCAGCTCCCCAGAGATCTTTGCCCTTCCGCACTTTCTTGTCTTCGCAGTCCGTGCAGAGGAAAAAAAGGAAGATGCAAGAGGCCAATTGGTTGATGACTCAGCTCAGCTCCCAGGGCTCCCATGTGCAGATCAGGTAACCACTGAGAATCTCATCTGCCCTCTGTTCCAGGGCTTGCCAAATTTACGCTAGTTACTATCATGCTAGGTCCATTATCTTATATAATCCAGTAGGTATTGTTTTAGAGTAAGGCCCCCTTCTACTTTAGCCTTGCATTTTTGTAAATGGTGGACCTTCACTGCAGCCTGCAATGACCTTCAACATGGGTTTCTCATCCAGTTTTGGACATTATCAAAACATCAGGTAGTTCTTTGCCCATAGCACCGGTGATACATTTGGTATCCAGGAATACACAATATCCCTCAGACCATAGGAGCCAACTCCTAGGGGCCAAGGTCCATTCATCCACCCCAATAAAATATTTGAGGGAGTTGGGGGGGCCCCCAAAGTTGATGGTCACTGTCATTCAAATGGTGTGTGCGTGCACTGCATCTTGTGATCAATTATGTGGGGCAGGGCTTACCTGGGCCCCCACAATAGTTTATTCAAGTTGGCCCCCTTGCCTCAGACCAATAATCCAGAATAAATTACAGTCTGGGGTGGAGGCAGGGGCTTGGCAGTTATTCCCTGGAAGTGTGTGTTCACACTCTACTTTCATGGTGCTATGGATCCTGGTCTTTGCAGTTACCGTGGTACCTCAGGTTACATATGCTTCAGGTTACATACGCTTCAGGTTACAGACTCCGCTAACCCAGAAATATTACCTCGGGTTAAGAACTTTGCTTCAGGATGAGAACAGAAATCGTGTGGCGGCAGAGGGAGGCCCCATTAGCTAAAGTGGTGCTTCAGGTTAAGAACAGTTTCAGGTTAAGAACAGACCTCCAGAACAAATTAAGTACTTAACCTGAGGCACCACTGTACTAAAAACAACCCACAAATTCTTCATGAAATGCACACACAGGTGCCAACAGAGCCCATTCAACACAATGAGCAGAAGAACCCTCAAGGGCAGGGGTCTGCAAACTTTAAGACAAAAAGAGCCACTTGGACCCGTTTCCGAAGAAAAAAAATCTGGGAGCCGCAAAACTCGTCATTATAAAAATAACTTTTTTGTCACTTTTTTATTATTTCTTTGTTTGACCCCTCAGAATTACTCCTCATAGAAATAAACGTTAAATTAACAAGTTACCTTTTTGTGTGTGTGTGTTCTTCACTCCCCTTCAAAACAGTGACCAGCGTACATGCCCCCTTTCAATGCAGTGACCAGCGTACATGCCCCTTACAATGTAGCGGGCGGGCGGGCGGGAAGGTGACGTCGGGACGGTGCGTGACTAACGCACGCACCGCCCCCCATGCGACGTCACAGCCAGTACAGCGCCCGCCACAGTGGGGAGTGTCGGGGCGCACAATGCGCCTCCTCCCCTCGCTAGTATCCGCCCCGGAGCTGCGGCAAAGGTGTAAAAGAGCCACATGCGGCTCCGGAGCTGCGGGTTGCAGACCCCTGCTCAAGGGCAACAGGACTGGGATGCCCCATTCTGAAGTAAGCAAAGTACCTCAGGTTACATACGCTTCAGGTTACATACGCTTCAGGTTACAGACTCTGCTAACCCAGAAATAGTACCTCCGGTTAAGAACTTTGCTTCAGGATGAGAACAGAAATCGTGCTCCGGCGGTGCGGCGGCAGCAGGAGGCCCCATTAGCTAAAGTGGTGCTTCAGGTTAAGAAAAGTTTCAGGTTAAGAACAGACCTCCGGAACGAATTAAGTACTTAACCCGAGGTACCACTGTAGAATATGTCCTTTTATTTAAACTACATCTCTGGGTCATTTGTGGGGCCTGACTGGTGTTTTTACATGAGTGGAATGTGTGCTTTTATTTAAAATGCATCTCTGGGTTTTTTGTGGGGCATAGGAATTCGTTCAGGTCAGTTTCAGGTTAAGAACAGACTTCCGGAACAAATTAAGTACTTAACCTGAGGTACCACTGTACAGTAATATACATTAGCATCAAAGGAAGGGAGCCCCTAAATTGCCTTGCCTCATCACCACACACGCAAAAGCACCTTGTGTGCATGACACAATAGTTTCACTGCAGTGCTGCATATTGTGGACCTTATGAAGCACACAACCACACCATTTCCCCCCTTGACAACTAAGCACTGCCTGGGCCTCTACAGCATCTGCTAGCCCATTTCTACCTTTCATTGCTGTGTTCTGGTTCATTCCTCCCTGCCTGCCTGCCTGGAAAAAGAACAGATCTAGGTCATTCACTATAAACACACACACACCTCAGAGCATGAGTCACTGCCTAACTAAGAGATTGTTTTCTCATAGTCTCAGCATCCAGCAGCTTCCTACAGACAATGGAGAATCCTATCAGCTGCCTAGCCTGGAGAATGATAGAAAATTCCTCTCTCCACTCACAATTCAGTTCAATGACATTCAATTGGCACAGGGGAGAAAACATAGGTTTGGTTTGGTTCGGTTTGGTTCATTCAGGCCTCGGGTAGCTGGTTAAGATTAGAAGCATCCAAAAGATGAGTACCTCCAAGCTGATCACATTTTTTGCAAGTGTATTCTGCAGCATGCAATAATGGTCCATCCGTGGAGGATTTATACTGGACCATCCACACATCGTTTTGCTTCCCTAGTGTTACTGTATTATGGCCGTCTGGAGGGCTCCTTTTACACTTTTGTGCAAGAAAAGCATTAAAAAACCCAGAACGTACTGTTGCTTGCCACCTCAATCACTCAGCAGTGCAAGATTCCAGGGGTTCTGGGCACTTACCCAGAGTTAGTGCTTCCCTGGAATGAGAGACAGCAGACGACACTGTGGTGTTTGTATGATATATAGTTTATATACACATACTGTATTTTTCCATGTATAAGACTAGGTTTTTCCCCTAAAAAATAATGTTCAAAATTTGGGGGCATCTTATACACAGATAGATCTTCCCCTATTTTCTTAAATCGAACCCCCCCCCAAAAAAATAGGGGGCGTCTTATGCATTGGGGGCGTCTTATAGATGGGAAAATACAGTGTGTACAAGCAATGAACAGCAATAACACCCCAAGAGGGCCTTTCTTTTCCCATAGCAAGCCTTGGATTCCAGCAGAAATCAGGTGTGGCTCTGTCTCCCAGCTGCCAAGCCCTGCAGCCCTGCTTCTAGCTTCCAGCTTGCACACACAATTCCCAATGCTAAACTCTGACTTTTGTCTTTCTAACTACCAGTGAGTTGACACTATCTGGCACGGAGCCATTTCCTTTGTTACCTTAATGGCCCATACTTAGAAAGGTCATTACTTCACGAGGAATCTAGCCTAGCTATTCCAGGAATTGAATCCATGTTGGATCCAGGAATTAGAAGTGGGCTCAGGCATACAGCCTAACCCTGCCACCCCAATGTTCCAGGATTTCAGCAAGAAGCTACAGAGCATGTACCAATTGGAATTAAGCAGTATATCGACCCAAAAACGTATGCAGGCACAAACAGAAATGAAAGTTAGATTTTGTATAACCACCCTGATATCAGCAAGAGGGGCTGGTAGTTAGAAAAAGACAAAGGCAAGAATGGAGTTTTGCAGAGAAGTGAAGAAAAGCAGCAAGCTGAAGAGAGAGTCAGAGCAATGTTTGACTTCTGTTTTAATTCAGGGCTGCAGCTATGGGAGAAAAAAGACCTTTTGGGTCTGTTAATGCTGTGCACCCCTCCACTGTAGGCTCAGGTTGTAAATATGTGTAAATAAACCTTCTATCATAAAGACACCACAGTCTCCTCTGTGCCTCATTCCGAAAAGAAACATGAACCTTGCTAAGGGCCTGGAACCTCAGGAATCTCACCCCAGGAATGCTCAGAGATTGGGGTGGCGTGTCACAATATATATGTTATTTATGTTGTTGGCATCCATCTGTCTCGAGAGACAATGGAGTGCGCCTCTGGGGGTGAAGTCAAACTGCTGCATTAGCAGCACCAAAATGACCTTCCCAGGATGCAAGGCTATGCAATGTGTATGGAGGTCCTGGGCTGCCCAGATGACAAGACCCCCCTCTAGTTATAAAATACAAAGAACAAAAGGAAGTCTGGTTGTTCCAGAATTATACTGACATATAGAGACAATGGGGATATAGGTAAAGGTAAAGGTAAAGGTACCCCTGCCCTTTCGGGCCAGTCTTGCCAGACTCTAGGGTTGTGCACTCATCTCACTCTAGAGGCCAGGAGCCAGCGCTGTCCGCAGACACTTCCGGGTCACGTGGCCAGCGTGACAAGCTGCATCTGGTGAGCCAGCGCAGCACACGGAAACGCCATTTACCTTCCCGCTGGTAAGCGGTCCCTATTTATCTACTTGCACCCGGAGGTGCTTTCGAACTGCTAGGTTGGCAGGCGCTGGGACCGAACGACGGGAGCTCACCCCGCCGCGGGGATTCGAACCGCTGACCATGCGATCGGCAAGTCCTAGGCGCTGAGGTTTTACCCACAGCGCCACCCGCGTCCCAGGGATATAGGTAGCCAAACCTAAATAACAGGATACATAAAGAAAATAGATCTACAAGAGGCCCATTTGAAAAAGGAGAGGAGAAAATATATCAAAAAAGATTCATAGCATCCCTTAATACCCTAAAACATATATAAAAAGGTAATATTCATATATAATACATAAATACCTTTCTAACCTCACATTATCATAATGCACATTCTGATAATTGATGAAACGGTTCCACCTCTATTAGCTCGTATCTGCTACCTCTTCCTTCCAGGAACACCCCTTTTTCGATTGCCTGTTTCCCTGGAGCAAGACACAGCAAGCCAAAAGTCCTCAAGGAATCCTGGATACGTTTGGGGAGGGCAGAACGCCACAGAGTTCCTTGCATGGCTCCGTCTGAAAGGTATCCACCAGGGATCCTGCTGACAAGAGTCTCGGCCTGGCGATTCAGTTGTCTACCAGTCAGGAACATCATAAAATCTTGGCAGCTGCTGGGTGGATTAAATCAGAAGCTCGCACATCACATACCGGGGCTGCTTTGCATGCCTGGCTGCGGTGACAAGCGCGCTCCTCCAGGG